TTTATAAAGAAAAATTAGCAACACTATATCCTCAAATAAGTTTATTATAAAAATATATTCGACGATTTATTTAGTAATATTAATTATATGTTATAAATATTAATATTTTCTTATAGGTTAAAATCGAAAATGTTTGACTTCTGATGAGTGAGAAGTGAGAATGAACGAACGAGATCGTGATTGATTATTCGTCCGCAGTCTATGTCTTGCCTCAGCCGTGATGCATGCCTTCCTCTGCAGGCTGCAACTTCGACGTGACTTGGATGATATAATATTCATTTGAAATGCATGCGTAGAACGAGAGAGCAGAGAAGTATCGACCGTCGACAACTCGATCGACAATGCTGACCAAAGCCTCATCTTTTTTATTGCCTGAAACAGAAACAAGCAGGAATCTGCCGCCTCTTTTTCTACGTATACACCATGGCACTAACTGGATCGTATAGTTGTATTTTCCAACTGCAGATAAGATCTTTACGCTGGTCAAGCACGCGGGAAGAATTTTGTTTGTTTCCTACCTCTTCCAACAAAGGTGTCTGCCTTCTCGAGCTAGATCGATTATGGTAATCTCGTTTGGTACAAATTTTGTGTTTGCTTGTTTTGTGTACAAAATTTGTGTTTGCTTGTTTTGTGTTCAGTAATCTGAACGGCTAGTATAGTTATTAAATAACTAGTGTGAGAGAGCCAATGGTTCTATTAGGGCCTGTTTAGATCCGATTTATGGATTATAATAATAAGTGTTTGGGTCCCTCGATTATGGCAGGTTCAAATGAGAAATTTCTATCCTATCCTTTAGTTTGGCAATTGGATCGTCGATTTAAGGGACAAGTTAGACTTTCAACATCTATAATCCCTAAAAACCAGGTCTTCCCTAGGTTATGGATTATGGTAATCAAAAGATCTGATTATAATAATCCCAAAATATAATGAATCTTGTTTGGACTATAACATGATTATTATAATCATATAGGGGTATCAAACAGGGTCTAAATAAAAACTACGAGATTTTTGCGACTGCTATAGACTTGTTTGGAACTACTCCAGATCCACCAAAACCAGCTCCACTCCACGAAAGAACGCTCTAGATCCACCAAATTCAGATTCACCAAAACGGTGGATCTGGGGCATATTCACTATTTTGCGATTATCATATTCACCATTTTGGTAATGCTCCTCAAGGAGTGCTCCACCAAACTAAGTTCGGTCGAGTTGGGGAAAATTACCCACCACTGCCACCCATTACACAAAATACCGGTTTGTTTTCTTCTTTCACGTTCTTTTTCTTCTTTCTCGTTCGTCTTCCCATCGCGACCTCCTCAGTGGCTGCCACCACCCCCAGTCTAGCTGTCACTGTGCCGGCCCTACCCTTGCCCCTAGCCGGCCGCCACCCTGGCCATGAGCGTCGTCCACGCCCAGTGCCAGAGCGGGAGGAGGTCACGAGCTACGAGTGCCAGTCCCGCCATGGCCACGAGTCAATCGTTGCAGTGTGAGTAATAAGGGTGTGTTTGGTTTCCTGGCCTCACTACTATAGAAATAATTTTAGGTGATGGTGCCCAAACATTAATGGAGACGGGCACAAAATCCAACTGCCTCCAAAAATGCTGGGCTATTAACGGAGGCGGTCACATTTATTTACCGAGGCGGTCACGTTTGCCCGCCTTGTAAAATCGATTAACGGAGGCGGTAAAAATCCAACCGTCTCCTAAAATCGATTTACGGAAGGGCGCCTTAAGACAACCGCCTCCAAAAATAGGCTATTTACGGAGGCGGTTGTCTTAAGGTGCCCGCCTCCAAAAATACAGGCCCAGCCCAGCCCAATATCCCACTCGGACTATATATACGCAGACTTAGGGTTTCATTCTCCATCAGCTCTCTCAGTTCTTCCCTCTCCCTCTCTCTCTATTTGACGGTGCACACCTCTCTCTCTCCCACTCGCCCTCCTCTCTCTCTCCCTCCGACACCAACCTCTCTCTCCAAGTCTCATTTTCCTCGATCGCTTTCATCTCCTCCAGCATCGCCCGTCGCCAATTTCCATCACGCTCGGCCATCGCGAACGTGGGTGGTTCCTCTACACTGACGAGAAGCAGCTCTGGGTCATTGAGCAGCCTACCCGCCAGGCCTGAGGCCCCTGTGCCGCCGACGATGTCATCCAGCCTGTGGAACCGCACCTCCTCACCGTCGTGGAATGCATCCATGAATTCAGTGATGTCACTTGGAGGTGAGTCAAACTCGATCAGTGTTGATGGAGTCCCCTGTTCCGCCGGAGTGATCGACACAGCACCTAGAGTGCTCGGCACCCCAGCTGTAGTGCTCGGCACTATCCTGGACTGCTCGTCACCACTCCTGGAGTGGTCTGCACCCTTCCCGGAGTGCTCGGCTCCCGTCTTGTAGTGGTCGGCGCCATTACAAGACCCCTCGGCTCCGCTACGGGAGTGTTCGGCACCCATCCTAGAGTGATCGCCACCACTGCAGGACCTCCCGGCTCCACTCCTAGAGTGCTCGACACCCCTCTCGGAGTGCTCGGCACCCCTCCCGGAGTGTTCGGCACTTCTTTCCCAGCGTCTCCACCACCGTGGATGACTAAGTGCTCAACGACGAAGGTGCTGGTGAAGCCGCCAACTTAACTCATGCCAGGACTGTTCCAGTCCTAGGCCGCCTCTCGTCGAACACAACATCGTGCGAGATAAGTACCTTGTCTCCGCGTGGGTCGTAGAGCCGATACGCCTTGGTACCCTCCGCGTAGCCCAGGAACACCATTGGTGTGCTCCTGTCCTCCAGCTTGGTCAGGACTGGCCTCGTCTTCCTGACGTGGCCGATGCAGCCGAATGTCCGGATGAAGGACACGCTCGGCTTGCGTCCATACCAAGCCTCGAATGGCGTCTTGCCCTTCAGGGCCTTGGTGGGAGTGCGGTTGAGGATGAACACCGCCGTAGTCTCCACCTCACCCCAGAACTTTGCCGGCATACCTTTGCCTTCATTATGGATCGAGCCATGCCGACCATTGTCTGGTTCCGCCGCTCCACCATGCCATTCTGCTGTGGAGAGTACGGCGCGGTGTGGTGTCGCACCACATCCTGATCCACGTAGTACGCAGCGAACTCAACCGAAGTGAATTCGCCGCTCTCAACACGCGCAACTTCTTGCCGCTCTCAGCCTCCACGCGCATCTTGAACTTCTTGATCGCCGCCACCACTTCGTCCTTGCTCGTCAGGAGTTGTAGCCACATGTAGTGACTACAATCATCCACGAGTAGGAGAAAGTACCGCCGACCACCGTTTGTGGCTGGCGTGATTGGCCTGCAGAGGTCGCCGTGGACGAGCTCGAGAGCGTCCACCGCGCGTTGGGGTCGACCTGCTTCTTCTTCTCCGAAGAAGCCTTGCCGCGGCGCTTGCCATCGCCACCGCGGCAGAAGGAGGCTACCCCGGAGTTCCTCCGAGCAGGCCACTCCTTCTCTGTCAGCAGCAACTTGCTGCTGTCCTTCGTTGTTGTTGCCTACTCTAAACGCTCGTCCATCGCCCGTAGACGGCCTGTCACATCCTCAATGGTGAGGGTGGACAAGTCCAGCATCGTCTCTATGGAGAGAGCGATCTGGATGTACTTTACCGGCACGGAGTGGAGGTACTTGGAAACCGCCTCCTCTTCGTCGATGGTGACGTCGTGGCTCTTCAGCTTGATGATGAGCATCTCCACCGATTCACCGTCCTTGAACTTGAGGTTGGCGTACTCCTGCTTCAGAAGCTGGGCCGTCGCTTTCTTTGCACGGTCGGAACCGACGCGCATCGCCGTAATAGCCTCCCACGGCTCCTTAGTAAAGCTCTTCACCCCCAATGGCTCCCTGTACTCCGTCGATACAGCAGCGAGGATAGCCTCTAACGCTGATATGTCATCTTCTTCATTTTGGGTGCCCTTGTCAACAGCATTCCAGAGTCGACGGGCTCTGAGCTTGACCTTCATGGTCACCAACCACTCTCCATAGTTGGTGCGAGTCAGCTTGGCCAACTGGTGCCGCTGACCTCTCGCACCGTGCACACAACGACCTCCTGTCGTGGTTGGGCAGCCACAGCAGTGCCACTGCTGTCACCCATCTCCAAATCGTCTGTCATCGCCAGCAGTTAGTCCGGCGACGATGCTTGTACGACTCCGATACCACTTGTTGGCCCACAGGATCACCGGCACGAGTGAGTCAACCACTCACCAACGTTGCCGACCACGACTATCGTTGTCCGACCACACACTATGGCTAGAGGTAGAAGAAGGGAGGGAGAACAGAGCATACACACACAGCAGAGACACCAGCGTTGGCCGGAGCTCTATATAGGAGATGGTAAAACTGAACTCGCTCTTTACTGAGTTGCAGTGGAAAACTATATATACAACTCTATCCATCTAGTTCTAGTACAGCTGTCATGCTGATACAGTGACTAGAAAAGACAGCATGGCTGACTCTGACGTCTGCTCCTGCTGTGGCTACAATGCGGCAGGTGAGCCGTTCGGCGTCTGCCCCTGCTGTGGCTACAGTACCACAGCAGGGAGCCTTTTCGGTGCCGCCTCCCCTTGCCGCGCGTTCACACAGGGGTGCAGCAGATTGTGTATACTATACTTGTGAGATGAGGCACGAGTGATGTATAATGGAAGCTGGTATTTATAGAGCTAGCAACTGCCTGCAGGTGTAGGGCTTTCTCTCTTATTGGAAGCTCCAGATATTCTTTCTGACTTTCTCTCTGACTGGAAGCTCCAGATATTCTTTCTGACCTTTCTCTCTAACTGGAAGCTCCAGATATTCTGGCTTTCTCTATGAGAAAGACGGAAAGAATATCTGGAGCTTCCAGTGAGAAAGAAAGCCCTGCACCGGCAGGCAGTTGCTAGCTCTATAAATACCAGCTTCCATTATACATCACACGTGCCTCGTCTCACAAGTATAGTATCCACAATCGTCACAACAAGTTGAAGCTAGCAGTTGCGCTGTTGCACATCACTGCACAGCAGGCGCGCAGATCGACATGGGCTCCATCGCTGCTGACGCCGATCGCCGGCCTCACGCCGTGTGCGTGCCGTTCCCAGCGCAGGGCCACGTCACGCCGATGCTGAAGCTGGCCAAGATCCTCCACAGCCGGGGCTTCCACATCACCTTCGTCAACACGGAGTTCAACCACCGCCGCTTGCTCCGCTCCCGCGGCGCCGGCGCGCTCGACGGCCTCCCGGACTTCCGCTTCGCCGCCATCCCGGAGGGCCTGCCCCCGTCCGACGCCGACGCCACCCAGGACGTGCCGTCGCTCTGCCGCGCCACCATGGAGAACTGCCTCCCGCATTTCAGGAGCCTCCTCGCCGAGCTCAACTCCTCCCCGGACGTACCGCCGGTCACTTGCGTCGTCGGAGACGACGTCATGAGCTTCACTCTGGAAGCAGCCCGAGAGATCGGCGTGCCGTGCGCGCTCTTCTGGACGGCCAGCGTCTGCGGCTACATGGGCTACCGCTATTACCGCGACCTCATGGAGAAGGGCATCTTCCCGCTCAAAGGTTAGCCCCCCGCCTGCACGAAGCACGATGGGTCGGTAGGGTACTGCAGCAGGCAGCTGCTCACGTTTTCTAACCATGATCGATGCAGACGCCGAGCAGTTGACGAACGGGTTCTTGGACGCGCCGGCGGATTGGGCGCCGGGGATGGGCAAGCACTTCCGGCTCAAGGACTTCCCAAGCTTCATGCGCTCGACGACCCCGACGAGTTCATGTTCCACTTCGCCCTTAAGGTGACGGAGCAGATAGCCGGCGCGGACGCCGTTATCCTCAACACCTTCGACAAGCTCGAGCAGGAGGCGCTCGACGCCATGCGCGCCATGATCCCGTCGTCCGCGTCCATCCACACCATTGGCCCGCTCGCCTTCCTCGCCGAGGAGATAGTACCCCGGGGAGACCCGGCCGATGCGTTTGGCTCCAACCTCTGGAAGGAGGACGTCTCCTGCTTCGACTGGCTCCACGGCAGGGCGCCCAGGTCGGTGGTGTACGTGAACTACGGCAGCGTCACGGTGATGACCAACGAAGAGCTGGTGGAATTCGCGTGGGGCCTGGCCAACAGCGGAGCGGCCACGACTTCCTGTGGATCATCCGGCCGGACCTCGTCAACGGCGACGCCGCCGTGCTGCCGCCGGAGTTCCTGGAGGCCATCAAGGGCCGCGGCCACCTGGCGAGCTGGTGCCCGCAGGAGGTGGTGCTGAGGCACGAGGCGGTGGGCGTGTTCCTGACGCACTCCGGGTGGAACTCGACCATGGAGAGCCTGTGCGCCGGAGTGCCCATGCTGTGCTGGCCCTTCTTCGCGGAGCAGCAGACCAACTGCCGGTACAAGTGCGTGGAGTGGGGCGTGGCCATGGAGATCGGCCACGACATCCGGCGTGAGGTGGTGGAGGAGAAGATCCGCGAGGTGATGGGTGGGGAGAAGGGAAAGGAGATGCACCGCCGTGCGGTGGAGTGGCAGGAGACTGGTCTCCGCGCGACGCGGCCCGGAGGGCGCTCATACGCCAACCTCGACAAGCTGGTCGCCGACGTGCTCCTCTCGGGTGGCGGCAACAAGAGTTCTTAATAATCTCAGCAAGGTTTCTTCCTTCCACCACCGTCGAGTGTGTTTCGTGATTCGTTCTGAACATCGATGGAGTACTATCCTATATCGTCATTTGTTCTGTCGAGCGTGAATCTCGAGGCACGCAAATCCGTAAATCATGTAGACCAGACGTGGATAATTCGTGAACGCATCAATCCGCAAATGAGCAAATAATTTTCGGACACGGCGTACCATCCTTTTTCAGAATAAGTAATTTTCGCATGGCACCTAATTGGGGCATGTTCGTTTGTCTTATAATCCGTATTTTTTGGCTTATTTTTTTGACAAAAACAGTATTTTTCTCTCATAATAAATCGGCCGGAACAGTATTTTAACTTGTTTTTTCAGTGAAGCGAACGGGACAAGTGTGCTCGTTCTCTTTTCCCTTGCTCAGTGAACTGCTGCATGCGTCCACTCAATTTCAACTGTATTTTGGACCCACATAAAATATTTTTTTAAAAATGCTATAACTTCTGAACGGAGTATTTATTTTCAATTCTGTTTACACCGATGTGTTCTACGTGATGAGATGAATAAAACTAGACCCTACTTACATATGTTTCAAAGATTTTTTTTCTAGTAGCAAAATAACTTATAACATATAGCTTATCACATATAACGTATAACCAAAACTCAAAAACACAAAAAGTTATAAAACATAACTTATCACACAAAAAGATATAAACTTATGTACATAAGTTATTATATACAACTTAGATCTACAAATTAATATAATAACATATTAGCAGATATGTTGGTAGCATGCATAAAAGGAAAAATTGATAGACTATTATAAAAACTAAAAAGAGAAAAAAAGGAAAAAAAATTATGTTTCGTAACTTTTATGTTTCAAAATTTTGGTATAAATTATAAGTTATATGGTATAAGTTATATATTATAAGTTATATGGTGATAAGTAATTTTGTTCTGCAAAATGTTATATTGTCCAAGTTGTTAATATAAGTTATGTACCGTAACATATATGTATAACTTATATTGTAAGCTATAAGTTCCATGTTAGTATAAGTTAATAAATATAAATTTGTACTAAAAAAATTCTTCAAAACATAAGTAGGTGGGATCTAGTTTTGTTTATCTCATCTCGTAGAACATACTGGTATAGACGAAATTAAAAATAAATACACCGTTTAAAAGTTATAGCATTTTAAAACAAAAGTTTCACTTTTTTAAAAGTGACTTAAGGAACTTGAATGGGCAGTGCGGGCGCGTACAGACCCGATCGGATCGCTCGCTGACCAAGAAATGAGTAAACAACCGCCAGAATGGATTTGGGCATAACTTGGTGGGAGGTGCCAATAGCTAGCGGAAGAAGTTACTTTTCGTACCAGGCAAATATTGGAATATGAAAGCCTGGTGGCCAAGAGGGCGAATTAACATAAATTATATTTGTTGTATTCGTTGCAAATTGCAAATGTTTGTACGAGTCTCTGGTAGGGTGAAAACGATCCGAAACGATAGGGAAGAAGGCTCTGTTCACGTTTCTATATTGAAAATGAAACTAATACGTATCGTCGAATATGAGAACGGTACCGATACTTCGGTTAATGTAAAAAACGACACTATACGATAGAAAGTACATTGATAACGATCGTCCAGTTCATTTGGCTTATAAGTCATATTTTTTCAGTCAACGAACAGTATTTTTTCACATAACAAATTAACCAACAGTACTTTCAGTTATGGCTTATCTGCCCAGCGAGCAAGACAAATAACAAAACGATACTTCCAAAACAATAAACACATCAAATCGTAGAACATGACATTATCCACGTAAGTATATAACCTACTCCATCGCATACAAATGAACTAACGATTAAGACAAAAACATTACTTTAACCATTTCCATAACACAGTCACGTACGTTCCTATTAATTTAACGAAGCCCCGACACTTGTTCTGGAGTTGGGTTGGGTTAAGGTTTTGAGTGGGACCCACATTTTTATAAGAAAAATAGCAAGACAAGATTCTTTTGACTATGGCCCCGTTCACGTGCCTTAAACCCGACTTGATCCGTTTTTTTTTTCATCCGAAACAGTGTTTTCCTCTCATAAATTACTCTAAAATTCCTCAAAACCATCCAAATTCCTCCAGAACCATACCAGGTTCGTTCAGAGTGGACCAGACAGACCGGCAGGGGTGGATATGGATACGTGATACGGGGCACGTCAGCTGGTGTAGTGTAGATGAGGACCACGTCCCCATCTCCTCGCGCGCCAGTGGCGTCTCCGACGACGTCGACCGCATCAAAGCCAGCCAGAAAGCCAGGGACTGAGGGGAAGGGGCGTGGCCGACTGGCCGTGGCAGCGCAAAAAAAGAAAAAGAAAAATCCGGCCCGGAGCAGGCAGCTAGCTATTGCTTACACGAACGGGCCAAGGAGCCGGGCGGCTGCATATATGAAATGAAACTTCATATAGCGCCTAGAATCCGTGCAAAGAGATTGCTTTGCCTATATGAAACTTCATATAGCGCCTAGGATCCGCACAAGGAGATTGCTTCGCCTACTGTTAGTTACTGTTCACCAATCTCCTGCTACCTCGTGGACTCATGCGTGCGTAAGCATCGGTTTCACCTCTCCCGATTAATTTAATTGAGGTCTGTTCCTTCACGGCTTCACCCTCGCTCTCTCCGTCAACGGAAAAAATAATAAGGAAAGAAAAACTCCTCAGCCGGCAGCGCGCCTCGCCGCCTCCGTCCGTGCTTCTTCTTCCTCTTCCTCTCCCCCAGCGGCGGCGGACGCGGATGCGGCGTCCTTCCTTGATGGAGGCTGCTCACGTGGATCGCTTCATCGCCTCTTCCTCTCCCCCGACGGCGATGGCGGCGGCGGCCACGGCCAGCCTGGCCTAGGGTTGCGCGCGGCACCAGGATGGAGAGGCGGCGATGGCGATGGCGACGGTGCTTGGGATGTCGGCATCCGCGGGGCAAAAGCGACGATAAGAGGCCGCCCTCATCCTCATCTCTGCCAGCAAGCATGGGCTCCCCAACTGTACCTCGCCGCCGTCCTAACACTGAGGTTCACGCCCCCTCCTCCTCCTCCTCCATCTCGATCTGTTGTCCGATCTTCATCTACTCGGTGTTTGGGTAGGTCTTACCTACCTGCCTTTGTGTGGTTTCCACGTCCGAGAAGTGCTCCAGGCTCAACATCCCCTCTCTCTCAGGTTCCAGATCCCTTCATCGCTCCTTCGCCGATGCTCTCTGTCAAATTTCCCTGGACTAATTAGTTTTTTCTAGAGCCTTTTACCTATGTGCCATTATAAAAGATGCTCTGGACCTATGTGCCACTAAAAAGTTCGTGCGATCTCCCAACCTCGCCGCCCTTGCCTTCCCGTCGCGGCCCTTGCCGAGCCTCGCCGAAGGTCGGGGAAGGGGAGCGACATCGCGTCGCCGCGGATCGGGGAAGGTGGAGGGGAAGGTGGAGCGGTGGATGGGCGAGGGCGACGGAGCCGAGAGGCCGTGTTCAGAGGCGGACCGCACGAGTGCACTAAACTGCAAAGGGGAGCGACATCCTGCCGTCGCTGCCCACTCATAGCTCACCGCCGGTAGCGTGGGGATCCTCGGCTCCAGCCCTGCCCTGCGCGCCCCGCCGCCGGAGCTCCTCCGCGCTCTACAGTCCAACGGCAACAGCACCCTCCACGGAGACGCAGCACCGCCCCAAGTCCTCGATTCGCGATCCGACAAACAGGGCAGCGACGACAGGAGCAAGAGGTCGCGTTTCTGCGCCCGGGATTGCGCTAATGGAGCTGCCCGTGGAGGAGCCGGTGAAGGTGCTTGACCTCCTGCAGCGCGACGACGCCGCGCTCACCGTCTCCGGCTACAACGACATCCTCTCGGCGCTGGCTCGCTCGGGGGACCACGCCACGGCTATCACGCTGCTCCGTGCCATGCCCATTGCCCCCCGAGCCCGCCG